GTTTCATATCATGACATTGACAGATTTAAATAACTTTCCCCCAACTGATCAATGGTTAACGTTATTTTTAGATTCCTTGTACTTGAGCTTGGACATGAACAACACCTTAATCTTAGAATGTTGAAATTTCCTAGACTATGAGCCAAATTGATGTTTTGGGGGACATATATGTATCCAAAGCATTCAGGTCTTAAATACACTGTTTTGGAGGTATGCAAGTCCTACTAGAGTACAATTTTTTTTGTATTATCACCACTATTACCATAAGCATCACTGCTATTTGACCACATACATGTGTTTTTCTACACTAATTCTCTTTATACAGCTCTTCTCATTGAAGAGAGAATCACATAACAGTACACAGAACAAGTTTAGATATTGATTCAAAATTCCTCTTGATGCTACAGTGCACTTACAAAGCTGTAAATACAAATCTACACTTTTCCCCCCTACCTGAATCAAGATTCACAGGCTACAAAGTAAATATTTGAAAGAGTAAGCAGATTACTACTTTAAACCCAAACAATATTTAAATGTTGCTCAAGGCTGAAATCTTTAGTCAATCTAGCTATCTTTACAGTAAAGATATGAGCCTGCCCCAGTGTACCCCACCATAATATTTCTGTGCCATGTCAGGGACAGAAATAGAGTTAGGGTGTAAGCTGAGGTCATTTTGCCAAGGGGTTCCTCAGACACAGGCTCCTCCCTCCCCCTTCCCCACCAATAAGGAGCTGATTTTAATATTCAAACTGCTCTAAAACTGACCTGCACATAGTGATTGTCTGTCCTTAAAATTGGTGTTTCACAAAAGGGGCTAGGATAGGTTTTAGGAAAGGGAAAACACCCACTGAGATAAATGGGTCAGTTCACATGTCTCAGAGGTATTATGTTATGCTGTATTCATCTCCATGGGATGGTCTGATCCGTGCCCACCCCAAAGCACATCCCATTGAGATGAAACACTTCACACCTCAGTAATCCTCCTATATTGCAGATTCCCCTATCTCTACCCTATTCCTGAAGTGTGGAATATGAAGTATGGGGCTCCCATCCACTCCCCCTTGCTTTCTCCAGCACGCAGATGTGCTCCTCATAGCTGCAGGCAGCTGGCAGGAGCGGGGAAGGCAATCACCACTGTGCCAACCCCATCACACCCCCAGATAGTCCAGTTTTTTTCCCAACTGACCCAGCCCCAACACTTGTAGTCAGGTCCGTTGGGTTACAGGGCTCTACTATGTGGGAAATAGAGGAGCCAGGAGGAAGGCAGAGCTGTTAGTCAAGTGGCTCTGAGATCCCCTCTAGGGATGCGGCCCAGGTACAGGCAGTGATAGCTCTGAGATGCCCTCTGGGTGCAAGGCCTGCTAGATCCAGCTGTGTCAAAGCTGGCTCAGGTACAGCTACGCTTGCTGCAATCACACCTCCCAAGTGCAGTGTAGACAACCCTTTGTGTCCCAATCTGCTTTGATAGACGATGTCTATCCTTCCAGATAAATATAAAGTACTGTGGGGACACAACACACGGGTACTACAGTAGAAGAAACTGTTAGTGTGCTTATATTTGACCACTTGTTGCCAGGTATTACCAGCCCTTAACCCTTGTCTTAAGGACTCCATCTGGAATATCATCCACACTTACCTCTGCCCTGTAGCGTACACTACCAGACTAGCACAAATCCCCACAGCAGGAACAGATTATTGTGTGTAACTAAACTCTGTATTTCCTGTTTTCAGACATTTAAGTATAGGTGCATTCAACATCCTGGTGGCACAAATGGCACTGCCGGTCAACTAAGTTTTGGGACAATGCATTTTCCATGACTGGGGCTAAAATGAGCACATGTGGTGTTTTTATCAGTGATGGCAAATGTGCATTTCAGCTAAATACACAGCTATCTTACTGAATTATTGCAACAGCTAGTACCTGAAGGATGATACAAAACATGTAATGGCTTTCCAATGTTGCAGTATTAATTTTGTTAAGCTATCATTAAAAACTTAAATAATTCAAGGTACGTGTTGCTTTCAAGGCCTCCAAGTTAATTCAGATTTACTAATCTAACATAAGCAACTGAATGGGCACAGCCTAACAATTTTATTTATATTGTTTGCTTCAGCTGATTCTCTTAGTTTCCCCACCAGCAATAGGGGGATCATGGTCCTTGGTAACATTTTAGTAAAAATCAATCACTATGAAAATAAATATGGAACAGAAGGGAAATATTTTAAAATATGAGTTGCCTCACTGGCTACTGTGCCATCATCCTCTCCATATAACTGCGAAGAATAACTACCATGTAAAAGCCAGATCTGTCTGCTGTGCTTTTTTAAACCACAGATTTTGCATCCCAAAATTATTCATAATGAATCAATGATGTAAGTTATTTCCCCCCAAAAGTTACGTATGAACATAGCAATAGAGAGTCCTGTGACACTTTTAAGACTAACAGATGTATTGGAGCATAAGCTTTCATGGGTGAATGCCCACTTCGTCGGATGCAGGCATTCACCCACAAAAGCTTTTGCTCCAATACATCTGTTAGTCTTAAATGTGTCACAGGACTCTCTGTTGCTTTTTACAGATCCAGACTAACACGGCTACCCCTCTGATATATGAGCATGTAACTGTCTTATCCAAACCAGTCACAAGATTATATTTTTAAAACTGCCTTTCAAGTTAATACTACAAAAGGGTTTTGGGCCGCACCTATTAAAAGGTGTAAGCTTCTAAAGAACGCCTAGGACAAGGAGCGGAGAGGAAGCATTTCCACCCTACAGACGCAACGATGATTTAGCTGCGATATTCCTAAAGCGGGCACGCGGGGCTCCAGGCTGAGCCGAACGGCCTGGCCAGAGAGGTAGCAGGTTGCAGCGCGCGCCATAGGGTCCCGGGGAGCCCCCCCCCCATTCCCTGCAGGGAGCGCCGCGGGGGTGGGACTAGGGTTTTCCGAGCTGGGCAGGAGCCTCTGCACTGATCTGAACGCGCCCCCGTCCCCCAGGGCAGGGCCCGGCCCGGCCCCAGACACACACGGGGCACCGCGCAAGGCCGGCTCTATGGGGGAAAAGGGGGTGCCCGGCACCTGCCTCCTGCAAGGGGGAAGGGGGAGTGAGCGAGGCCGGGCGGGAGGCCGAGGCCCGGGGCGGGTCACTCACCGCCCAGGAAGGTGCCCAGGAAGAGACATTTCTTCTTGTGGCGCTTGAGGAAGCTCCACAGGGCTCCCAGCATCCTGCCCCCGGCCGCCCCTAGCCGGCCCCGCGCCCGGACCAGCCGAGAGAGGCCGCCTCAGCCCCGCGGGTGCCGCCGGGAGGGGCGGGCAGAGGCGGCCGCGCAGACACCGACACGCCCAGGCCGCCTCCCCGCGGTGCCGCCGCCGCCCGGCTCCCCCGGAAACAGCCGCGCGGCGCGGCGCGTTCCGGGCCCGGCCGGCCGGCGGGGGATGGAGGTGGCGGCGGAGCGCTGGATGGACCGAGCCCTGCGCATGGTGAGTGGGGGGCCGCCCGGTGCAGGAAAGGGGATAAAGCCCCCAGGGCGCAAAGGCTGGAGAGGGGCGTTTGTTGTTATTTGTAGCCTCCGGGCACCTAGGACCCTCCTCCCCACCGCCTGGTCCCCACTGTGCTAGGCGCTGGACGGAGCCAGGAGAGCCCCCGGGTCCCTGCCCCACGGAGCTTACAGTCTAGTTGGTACCTGTTAATTTCCTGACAAGCCCAGTGCGGGCGGGTTTGCCTGAGCTAGGAATCTCTGCAGGGGGAGCAGCACGCCCTTATAACTGAGTTAAAATAGAGAGGCAAGGGGTGTGTGTGTGTGCCAGGTAATATCTCTTACTGGACCAGCTTCTGTTGGTGGGAGAGACAAGCTTTGGAGTTACACAGCGCTCTTCTTCAGGTCTGGGTTAAAAGACACAGCTGGGGTTAAAGTGGTGCAGTTTTGCGCCTAGACTGGAGCTGGGGCACCAGGGTGGTGGGCTCCAGCACTCAGGACTTGTCTTCCCTAGAGTTGGCTAACTTGAGTGAATTGGCCAGTCTGTTCACTTGAGGCAAAATAGCTAGTGAAGACAGAGAGCTGGATGGCCCAGCATCACTCAGCTGTTTGTATCAGGGCAGCAGGTACCCCATGTAGCTGAAGCTGCAAGGGGAATGTAGGCTGGCAGATGTCTGAGTCTGGGCACGGGATTTAGTATGTTTACTCATGAGTGACCAAAAGTCAGCACCTCAAGTTTACCCCTCATCTAAGGGCACAGCTACATTAGAGAGTTCAGCGTGGCCCAGCTGCATGGGTACAGTCAAGGTCACCGATATCTAAAATGACCCTTATTGAGCTTACTAATCAGGATGTGGACATAAATTGCAAGTAAAGTGTCTTGGTTAGTGTCTCCTGGACTAGGGAGGTGTCAGTTGCACCTTTCTGCAATAGGCTGGCCCTCTGTGCCTGAGGAAGATTCACCTAAAGGAGGGCAGGAAGGAGTATAACCATCTGCCTGCCTTCATGGGTTGTACATTGGGTGAGAGCCATAGTAGCCACACCAGAGGATATTTGAATGCATTCAATCAGTCTCTCACCACACTCCCATCCCGATCAGCACTCCCACATTTGTGGTTACACTGGCTTCATGGAAGGTGTATGTGTTGCTGTTTGCACAAGATTTTTGCCACAAGGTTTCCTGGGCTGAATCAGGCCCTTTATTTAGAAAAGACATAAAATATCTCAGGTCTGTCTTCTTACTGGAATAAGGTTACCATACATCCTGGTTTTCCCGGACATAGTCTCTTTTTTGAGCTTCCTTTGTCTGTCTGTGTGGATTTTTCTAATAACAGGAAATGTCCAGGGTTTTTGCAGAGCAGACAAGCTGCAGCTCAGAAAGAGCTCTGGTCCCTCCCTTGCATCCGCAGCTGATTGGTTCGTTCCCCTGCAGCCACAGTTGCTGGATCCCACCTACCTAGGCCCCAACTCCCATCCCTGGGGAGGCACTGACTGATGGTTGTTGCTGCGTCCTGGGCTCGCACCAGCCACCGTGACAGGGAACGTTACTGCCCCCCACCTCCAGTGAGTACTTCCGCTGTAGGTACCTCCTTCAGCAGCCCCAACTGTACCCCTCCTGCTCCCCCTACCCCCAAGCTCCCTCCCCCTCCGGCAGTGTCCTCTTTTAGGGAACCTGCAATATGGTAAACCTATACTGGAAATACAGAAAGAGCTTCTGTGACAGAGTGTAACTTTGCCATCAAGTGTACAGTATATACAAACGCAAATAGCAATTAGGTTTTATTTTGTCTGCACTTTATCGTTAACATTTCCCCCTCCACTCCTAATTTTCTTGTGTGTCTTGCAGGCTAAAGAAGCATTGGAAAATGGGGAAGTTCCTGTTGGCTGCCTTATGGTCTACAACAATGAGATCCTAGGAAAGGGGAGGAATGAGGTGAATGAAACTAAGAATGTAAGTCGCAAAAAAAGCCCTATCAAAAAAGTACACACTATGTGCAATGGGAATTTCATCGTTCACCTCAGTGGGGCCTGGATTTCCCCCCATATGTGCATATTTTGTTTTCTTTTCATATATATTTCACATTTCTATCTCTGCACACCTAATAATGCCCCCCCCTTTCAGCAAATTAGCCATTCTGGTTTTTTTTCTTTTTTTTGCTATCACTTTTTGCATGTTTATTTTTCAGAGCATGGTCTAGTTATTTCAATATGCTTTTGGTATCACCTGGGACATTTGTGTACTTACTGACTGTAATTTATGCGAGTGATGGATTTCAGAAATTTCCGCTTATCTACTTATTAGTAATTCCTCTAGTTAGAGCTATTTATGACAGAAATAAACAAAAATCAGAAAAGAAAGTTGATATACACAGATATAACATAGCTATACAAATACATATATTGTACTTTATATGTTGTACTGAAATCATATTTATAGTTAAAGCAGAACCCAAATTTCCTGTGACTACAGGACACTGAAGGTAATGCATTATAATGTAGACTACTGGTAATTTTTTTCCCATATATTTGTGGACATAATAAATTATGCAGGAGAGCCTTGCTAATTCACATTAATGAGTGGGAGACAGATGACAAATAATTGATTTTTTTAATTTAGCATTTAAATGAACAAAACAAGGATGTCACTTTGCAAAATGTACTTTGACAAGTGCAGTTGGGTTTTATTTACTTACAATAATACTTCATAGGATTGATGTTAGTGTGTTTTCTCAAAAGTTAGTTTTAGTAATATGAGACCCAACTCTAGTATTCATCTATGAAAACTTCGCTGGGAAGAAAGACAATACTGGGACTGCTAGTTTTGGTATGGAAGTTTTAGAATAGACATTTTAGAAAAGTTCAACTGTATTGTTTATCCAAATTATGTCAATAACAAAGACTTTTGCTATACTGAATTTCTGCTTTCAACATTTAGACCCAATTCTTGCAATCAGATCTGTGTGGGTGGGTCCTAAGCCCCACAGAGCCCTATAGAAGTCAGTGGGGCTCTGTGCAGGTAGAAAGGTTTGCCCCAAATGGATCTGATTGCAGATTCAGGTCTTCAATTTGTATTATGTCTCATCCAGTCCAAAAACAAAATAAAAAAAGGAGGCTTACAAATTCAGTTTCAAAGAGATGGTCTAATGACCCACTTCCATTTGTGTTGGATGATAATGCACAACCTTTTTGTAGCAGCTTTGCTTCTCATCTCTAGTTCATGAAAATTAGAAGTGTAGTACATGTTGGGGAGTTCAGTTTAAAATCAGTATGAATCCTTCTCCCACCACTGAAATACAGGTACCTTTTGGATGACCTACAACATGTATTTAATCAATACTACACCATTATTTAGAAAATAAAGTGAAGAATTCTAAATCCAGATAGGGAGAATTTACTGTTATAAGGCAGAATGTAACAGTAGAAATCAATCACAAAAAATAAGCAGTAGCACCCTTACTCCTACAGAAAAAAAGTGTAAAGGGAACTTTAGGCACCCAAGTTTCACATTTTTTGTGGCTTGATTTTCAGAAGTGCTGAAAACACACCATTCACATTGAAGTAATTGGGAACTGAGGGTGCTCAGCACTTCTGAATATCTGGCCCTTGTTCTTCAATGACTACAAGCAGTTTGGGTCTTGGATGAAAGATGGTGTTAGAGTGATAGTAATTACTTACTAGAAAATATGTAAGCAGGAAAGACCAAAATGTCTTCAATATTTCTCTTTGTATTTTCTCACACAATTTTCTGGCATTAGTTGACTAGGCGCAAAGTGAACTGCTGTGGGCACTCAAAACCCCTTCTCCCTATTCCAAAACTAGTCATTTTTGTCTAAAAATTTCTTTTCTGAAATCTCTCCAAATTTTGCCAGCAACTGAAATCTCTAGTTATTCTGCATATTGTCACATATGCTCTCTTTCTGTTCCATGCGCCAGTAGCAATATATGTAAAACCAGTGAGGCAACCTCTTCTACCAGCCTTATTTTAAAATTCTTTATCATCAGGCTCCTCCTTCTTGCTAAGATTGGGATGGGAGGAAGGGCCGTATACATTACAGAATCTTTCATGTTGCTTAGTAGGAGCATGTATCTAGATTCAGCCCTTCAAGATGTTAGGCTTGTCATTACTTGAATTCGTTGGGCAACAGTGCAACAAATATCTTTGTAAGTCATTCTTTTTAAACAACTTAGCAATAGGTACACGAGACCTAGCCAGCATTGTTTTCCCTCTGGCTGCTCCCACGCTTGCCTGATTGTTCTCAGTCTTTCCTCAGACAACCCTACTATTTCCTCTGTAATAATACATGTGGCCCTTCCCAGCAAGAACATTTTTTGGAATTTGTTTATGTGTAAGCATACCCCTCCCACTAAACTGTTCTCCCTTTAAGATTCTTTGTTACCACATGTACGCTTCTCCTCTCTATTTATCTCCTGTTTAGTCATGCCAGCATGTGTCATTGCCCAGAGCATCTTGCAAGTACAGTATGTAAGCACTGAAAAGGAAATATTGTTTCCACTCATAAATTACTAATGATGCCCTGAGATAAAATAGAACTACCAGCTTTAGCCCTGTCACTCTCACTTGTTGATTCTTGTGTAAGATTTATATTGTTCGTTCTTCAGGGCAGGATACTTTTGGGCACTGTATTAATATCATCATAAGTTTCTTCCCTAATGACTTCACCTTCAGGTAATGTCTATTCTTCCAACACCTTTTATCACCCTTCTATAACAATAATTATTTTCATGTTCCATTGTTACTGTTTATATGTTTTTTTCCTTTATATAATAATGAATTAATATGTAGCACACAAATGCTATGCAAATAATAATTTTTATATATTGGGCTTATAGGAGATTATAAATTGACTCATATGATGTAATATGAAAGTGACCACATGCACAACTCATATAAAAATGACACATAGGTTTGTTTCAATATACCTGTTTACAAAGTCATATTTTAAGGCCATGTATTGTTCCACTAATGTGGACTCAATCCTCATCTACATCCAGCTCATGGTGGGTGCCGTTGAATTGGTGTGGGGGTGAGCAGAGGTGGCTCTATCTTCATGCCTCCTGTGATCTTCAGGGCATAATTTTGAGCAGTCAAACAGGGCTGCTCTAAATTACATTGACTATAATGGTTTCCCGGGAATCAGTCTGCTGGCCAGGGATTAATGGAGTGCACTGAGCTCACTCCCAGGCACACTCAATGCGCACAGCCTTCATAGATTCTTAGAGTCCAAGGCCAGAAGGGATTGTTGTGTCAGACTAGGTGATCATAGACCATACACTTTCCTCAAAATATTTCCTAGAGCATAAATTTTAGGAAAACATCTAATCTCAATTTAAAAAATTGCCAGTGATGGAGAATCCACCACGACCCATGGTCAATTGTTCCAATGGTTAATTACCCTCACTGTTAAAAATTTGCACCTTATTTCCACTCTGAATTTGTCTAGCTTCAATCTCCAGCCATTGGATTGTGTTATACTTTTTTCAGATATATTTGATAATGGGTTCTTCAATCTTTGTTCCCTATGTAAGTATTTATAGACTATAATCATGTCACTTGACAAACCTTAACAAACCTTCTCTTTGTTAAGCTAAATAAATTGAGCTCCTTGAGTCTGTCACTATGTTTTCTAATCCTTTAATCATTCTCATGGGTCTTCTCTGAACCCTCTCTGATTTTTCAACATACTTCTTGAATTGGATCCTACTGGATACCAGAACTGGACACAGTATTCCAGTAGCAGTCGTACCAGTGCCAAATACGGGGGAAAATAACCTCTCTACTCCTACTCAAGATTCCCCTTTCTATGCATCCATGGATTGCATTAGCCTTTTTGGCCACAGCGTTGCACTGGGATCTCATGTTCAGCAGGTTACCCACTAGAATCCCCAAATCACTTTTAGTGTCAGCCTTCACCGAGGAATCCTCAGCTACCATATTAAGACAATGTTAAGGTCACATTGCATCACTAAGAATGTGGGAATTACATCTAAATATTGATTTAGATCCACATGTAGATTCTAAATGTGAATCTAAATATGAATTTACAGTTATTAGTTTTAGCAACATAAGATTTTATTAGTAACCTATTTATCTGTATACATGGGCCCCATCACCTTAATATCCAAGCACATCACAATCAACAGTGAATTTAGCTTCATGGCACCCTAATGAGGTATTATCCGTATTTTACAGATTGAAAATAAAGTCACAAAGATTAAATGACTTGGCCAACGTCACACAGGAAGTGAGTGGCAGAGCTGGGAGTTGAACTCAGATCTCCCACATTCCAGTTCAGTGCCTGGGACACACACAAAAAATCCTTCTTTTCCTAAATAAGGATTTAAAAAAAGAAAATTATCTTGGTAATATTAATTAAAATAAATGATTCTCAAACTTGAAGAGCTACTTTGAAATCTAATGGAGTCACAGAGAGCCACAAAATAATCAGAACAATGATGTTATATTATCTTGTGATGTTTGTGTTGTGACATTAGGTCAACAAAACTCATGGTGACTGCTATATCATGATGCCGACATTACAGTGCAATATCAGGACGTTATTCTGGGATTGTTTTGTGGGTCTCTGCAACTCCATTAGTTTCTGTATTCTGTTTGTGTTCATTATGCCACACCCATCACAGTGATACATGTCTCCTCCTCATTCCCTTCCCATATTTCCTGACTGCAAAGAGGTCACTCTGGTCTGTTTACTCAACATTTACCTTACACATGGAGCAGGATAGGGGTGAGAGGTACTTCTGAGTTGAGCCCTCTGGTTGTTCTGCCAAGGAGTAGACAGAATGAGAAGAGATCTGATCAAGCTTGTGGATTCCTTGAGAGTTGTACATGACTAAAAATTGAGGCTGAGTATCGTTACTTCAAATCAATCTGTGCAAAATTGAAATTGCACTCTGTGTGTACTCAATTCTTCAGCCGGGACCAGCCAAAAAAGAGTGCTTTCAAAGAAGCATTACAATGCCACTGTGATAGAAATGAAAATAACTGATTTCTAATAGACAAGTTGTAGCCCACCTTGTTTTTATTAAAAAGAGATAATTTTATGGTGGTGTGTTCTCATTTCACTTGAGTGGATAAGGTTAATAGGGGTAATATGTTCAAAGTTGCAGATCAATGCAAGCCTTTTTTGTCTCCCTATAAATTCCCAGGCTACTCGACATGCAGAAATGGTAGCAATCGATCAGGTCCTAGACTGGTGTCATCAACACGACAAGGATCCCGCGGAAGTGTTTGCACACACAGTGTTGTATGTAACTGTAGAACCTTGTATCATGTGTGCAGCTGCCCTGCGCTTGATGAGTATCCTTTGGTTCTGATTCATGCTGGGAAACCATATGGCGATATGTTACTTTCAAGTAAATCATTTGGTAATGAACCAATGGAGAAGAGCTTGATGTTGTCAAACAAAGGTTTATAAGGTACCAGCTTATCTGCTCAGAGAACATGTCCATGCTACAGTTCCTATATTAAAGGCCATATGACCAAGGATGAGAGATTTAAGGATAAGAGAAAGCAATTTGCAAACCTGGCACATACATTGTTTTCTCTTAGGGGTGTGAAAGTAATTCTCAGAAAGAGCCTGTTACTGTATACAATTAGTTAATCCCATGCAAGTGTCCAGTTTTAGAAAATGTAACAAACTGGTAATATGTGGTTTCCAATGTGTCCCCTTTGGGATCTCTTCTCTTCCATCTTCAAAGGCCAGAGCAGGATGACCCATCCTTCCACCTGCAGAAGGCATGCTCCGTGCGTTACCCAGAAGTAGCACACAGGAGTGAGGGTTGAGTGCAGACTAATTTTATAAAAAGAGTACAAGCACAATTTACTGAACTCAGATGGCCAGTAAAATCAGGATACTTTGCTTCATACCACTCTTTTCTTATTAACTTAGTTCCTTAACTCTTTCATATAAATCCCACTGGTTGTGTATGGCTGTCAAAATGAGCGATTTGGAGGTTGTGGCTCAGTTTTGAACATCTCCTCTGCTAACTTAACAGACACTGGGGAACCATTTCAGGTAAAACATCAAGATGTGTTCCTTCTTGTATTTAATGTTTAAAACAATGAATACAGTTACTGTTGGTGATGAGAAACTGAGATAGTGAGGCTGTAAAAGGGTTTCCGACATCAGCAAGAACATACTGATGGCATCACAACATAAGCACCTGCTTTTTAGATTGACCACCTGCTGATCAGTGGTGGGGGAGAGAGGAAGCTTGCTTATGAGAGTACAGTTTGAGAGCTTTGTACAGTCTTCTTCTGAAAGATTTTCTGATATTCAAGCTGAAAATGGGTATTTAGCTCTCAGATATACCCAACTGTGTAAAGGAAAAGGCTATTTCTATAGTAAATGTTTGTTTTTTTTTCAAGGAATTGCAGTGGGATGAATGTGTACAAGTTAGCACCTTCTTATGTGGGTGTACTCTCTGCAATTAGTGGTGTTATTGAAAACATCCTAGCTCGTTATTTTTCCTATCATTCCCATTCACATATTTGGGCCAGTTACAGTACATTTTGTGGGTGGGAGTGTTACTTTTGAAGGGCCAAGGAAGCCTCAGAATTGACTTCTAGAATAGGATAATAGAAGAGCTACTTGATAGGAACCTAATTTACAAATACCGGCATGAATGTTTCTTATATTCCCAAGGGTTAGTGTGATTTGCAGAAGTAAACGGAAAGTACACTGCTAGTATGTGGGGGAGGGAAGGGTGGTTGCAGAAGAGTTTTTCTTATAACTCCTGTGGAGGATGAGGAGGTCTGTCAACTACTATACTAAGCCTCAGCCTAATTTTAAAAACAGACAAGGTCTTCATTCTGAAAATGAGGGTTTCTGATCACAGATAATTAGAGAAGTACTGTCAGTAAACAGAAAAGGAAGTACAAATTCTGTGCAATTATCCTACACCTCAGGTGTTATTGTGTGGCACAAGGCATCTTGGTTTTGGATGCTTTAATGAACATAGAGTTCTAATTTCAACAGTGCATTGCTGGTTATCGAGCTGAAGAAGCAGTGGACATGTTAAAAACCTTCTACAGACAAGAAAATCCAAATGGTAAGTTTCCTTTTTTTTGCAACTACTTTAACCCTAATCATAAATTAAAAGAGTTCTGGCACAGGCATTGTCATCTTTCACTTTCCATGTCTTTTTTCCTCCATCCTTTCTGGCAGCACCGAAATCAAAAGTACGGAAAAAGGAATGCCATAAGTGATAGTCCTCTACTGATGGAAAACTGAAAGATAACAAAATAATGATTTGTGGAAAAAGATCTCTTCAGTGTTCCCTTTGATACAGCATTTGGGTATGGAATGGAAACATTAATGAATTTCAAATATGTTGATCTATATGGTTTCACTAGTTGAACATTATCGGTTTCTGTCATTTTTTATGGCTAGTAGGTTGACTGATTTCTAATCACCAAACATAGTCTTTAGGAAGAATGTATGGTTTCTGTTTTTTGGGGAATATTTTGAATTATAGTTCAGACTGAACTTCTTTTCAGCCATATGGATTCAGCACTCCATTGGAGTAACTGCCATTCTGTACAGTACATGGATGAATATCTGTGTCCTTTTGTCTATGGAGCAGCCTCTTGCTGTTAAACAGCAGATACTTGTAGAGACTAGATCAATACCAAAAGTGGATAAACAAGCCACTTAGAAAGTTACATTCATATACATACCCTACTGCATATTGAATTAGAATTCAATTAAGAGTTACAAGGGGGTAACAAAAGGACAGTTAAGCAACTATACCGATCTTGAAAATTGAGATCAGACCAATGTAGCAGTTCATTGTTTTCCACTGTATATCTACTGTAGGCCAAACTTTCAAAGAGTTTCTGAAAAGTCACATATGAAAAGGCAGATATTTATACAAAACTACATGTGTGACTACTTGATTTGCATAAACAAATGGTGATTTGCATAAGCAAATTCCAGTTTTGCCTGCATAGTATTTGTACGTGAAGTTTTGGAGGTTGCCATGAAAGTGTGTCCCTCTTACCCCTCTCTTGAATGTTAGAATATTGAAAAAGATGACAGTTAAGAATTAAATCCATCAGTCAGTTGGACTCATTCTAAACTACTAAATCATGGCATTTGAAATGTATAATCACAAATGTGAAAACTAGGAAGGAAAATGGCACTAAGAAAAAGAAAACAAGATGCATGACAGTCTATCTTTTGGAGCATTTGTTATTTAAATGTCACTTACATATGCTTTTGCTTGGCCATGCTGTAATTCATAATCCAGAAGAGGGCCTTACTGTTCCACTAATGAATAAAAAGTATAGGTCTAAGTTGAATCCTTGATTATATTGCTTTTGGTGGATATTTATCTTGAGGAAAAAACAGCTTGTGATTTAGTCGGTTGATATGCAGAAATTTTGAGAAACGTCTTATTTTTTTATTACAGAAGAGAGATTAGAATTCTATGGATACAAAAGTCAAAATCACGGTACAAATATTTTCCACAATTAGAGTAACGTTGAAAAAGTAAAAATTTTTGTTTTTGATGGTAAAATAAAGAAACTCATTTGCCACCAGTTCTGCCAACACCTTGGAATTTATTTTCTTTATATAATTTTCTCAATGCTTATAGTTTACTGAATGGAGGAAAAAGGAACTTAAAAAAAAAGATTGTGCTGGGCTCCTATATGCTATTTTTAATATTACTGTTATTTACAAGATTTTAAAATTATTCCTTTTGTTTACATTTTCAGTCTATTGTATTTCCTGACCCATTGGACCTCAGTTGCTGCTTGTCTGAGTCTTTTCTTTCCTATAGCCAAATAAAATGTTACTGCATTTGTAGGTTCATCAGCATCAATGGAGATTATGTAGTGCTGAAAGGAGATACTGTCCGTTCCCTTCCTTCAGTAAGCAAGGGCTACAAGGGACCCTGAAACAGACTGCCTAAATATTCACAATTTAGATAACAGTTTTAATGCCTAGGAGAATCTCAGGGGACGGATATACCAGTGGTTCAGGCACTTGACTGGTGACTCAGATATAAGTTGAATTCCTGGCTTTAAGACAAGCTTCTTTGGTTTATTTTGAACAAGTCATTTTAAGGCCCAGATCCTCAAAGATATTTAGGAGTCTAATTCCCTTTGAAATCAGTGGGATTTAGGCACCTAAATACTTTTTCAGGATCTGGGCCTTACACGCTCTGCCCCCATTCTCCATCTGTAAAATGGATACCAATACTTCCGTATCTCACTAGTGTGTTGAAAGGACAAATTAATTAATATTTGAAACCATTTAAGTATATAGATCATTGCTAATAGGAAAATTAAATACTTCTGAAGCCAAGCCTGATTTTGCCATCCTTATTTACATTGAGGAAAGCGTACTTGCATGAGGACTAGTCACTGAAGTCAATGGGACTAGTCACGTGAGTAATAATTCAGCAAGAACCAGGGCTTAAGAATCAAGCTGTTGGGGAGAAGGACTGCATAACGCACACAGTACAGCTGAAGGTGGTGGACACAGTGAGATTCTGTCTAGGACTTTCGAACTGGAACAAAAGATGGCAAGTGTGATTCTTTAAAAGAAACCCATCTTACAGAGAGGTTTTTCTTTCTCTAAAAATGTTAGGATATTGATCCGTATGACAGGCCAGATATATTGCTGGGTCGTATTTCAGATAGCAGGGGTTGAGAAAGCCTTATCCAAACCACTGGCTTTTTCTAACCTGGTCAATTTCTAGCTCCTAGGACAAAGTTATAATGAAGTGAAAAAACCCAGACTAAATCTGGTGGTGACATTTCTAAGTCTCTGATAGGGTTGATTATCCCTTCCAACAAGTAAAGCAGAAAAGAAAAAGCCACAGTTACAGGCTCCTACAAATCTTTTCATCTCTAACCCACGTGAAATCAGTGGGACCATTCATATGCTTAAGTGTTTTCAGGATCAAGGCTTTAGCCTCTATTACCAACACTGTTTGTAGCATTAGAACTGATGCTAAATTGGCATGTTCCCCAGCCTCATGTTGGTCTGTTGGGGTCCCAAAATGGACTCTCTTGGGTATTGATGAATCCTTGATGACGGATTTGAAAGGGAACCAATTTCTCTCCTCTGAAAAAGCAAAATTAAGTTACAAAACCTATTTCCTTGTCATGGAAAATATTCATGGATTTTACTTTCTCTCTCCTGACTTGAAAAAATACATTGATAGATCAATTGATAAAGATACTCCTAACAGCTACAGGCCCCCAAAGCCTGTTAGAAAATGTTGGCGTTGTTGTATTGTACTGTATTTATACTGGGTGCCTCAAGTTCTATTAACTGCTGTTGTGGCTGTAGGTGTTCAAGACATTTGAAAATTATGTATTTAAATACGTGTCTGAGTGTTAGGCACCTGAGTTTGAGAAGTTTAACCTAATAGAGAAATCAAGCCATGTAAAAAATCTACAAGCTTTATAGAGTGTCCATTTAGAACTGGGCCTTGACCCACCTTTTAGTTTTTCTGTCACCTTAAAGAAAAATTTTTTTCTAAAGGAAAGAGACCAAGGTATCAATATGGAAGCTCAATGAAAACCTTTGGTTGATGTTAAGCTGCAGTCAGAAAATCAAAGAAACAGCAACAATACATGAAGACCAGAATAGAAAATGATAATGAATGTATGATGCTATTATAGCAAACAATGGTAGGGCCTGTGATGTTATGTGATTAAAATATGACCATATAGATCCGGGATCGGCAACCTTTGGCACGTGGCCCGCCAGGAAAAGCCGCTGGTGGGCCGGGACGGTTTGTTTACCTGCAGCATCCACACGTTCGGCCGATTGCAGCTCCCACTGGCCACGATTCACCGTCCCAGGCCAAGGGCGACCACATCCCTCTACTGCTTTAGCATCCCAGTCTGGATGCTCCCAGCCAGCATATAAACATGCACTGAATCTCTGTGTGATAAAAAGCCCTGGTTCAGCAACTTTGACTCCAGCAGCCTACTTATCACACCACAGCAACACTCTGGTCTCCGCCAGCGTTGGTTACTACTAGCCACGTGATCCCAACACACACCCTAGTCCTGAATTTCCCCCAAACTGTCTGCCCTGAAGGGTCCAGCTCTGGCCTGGAATATGTAGGCAAGTAATAAAGTCCACTACTCTACACATAGCAGTTATTTTGCTTTAAGTGGCGTTAACAATCACTTTAATTCAAACACAGCACTGGGTTGGTTTAGATTAAAAGTAAAATGAGTTTATTAACAAAAAGGATTTTAAGTGAGTTTCTGCATAAGGGATAAAGTCAGAAATGGTTACAAGCAAATAAAAGTGAAAAACACTTTCTGGTGACTAAGACTTAAGAAAACTACAGTCTTGGTTCAAGGTTAAGATTCTTACCATGCTTCTTACCAGCAAGATGGCTGATCATCCAATCGGTAAGGAGCTCCCACCAAGTCCAAAGGGCTTGGTTCCTTTGTCATTTTAGGTGAAAGGTAACTTGGGGTTCTGTGCCCCTCTCTTTTATAGTGCAATGAACTTTTGAAATGTATCTTTCTCAAAGTCCAGTGCCCTTGCTGTGAGGAAACGTGCCATGGAGTCTGATGGAGAAGATTCCATGCAGGTTTCTTCCTTGCTGGTGCTTTCTACAATGCAAATTAATCTTTTCCTGCAGCCTCCGATATACTAGAGAATGGCCACTTGATTGGTTGCCAATTGTCTGTGATTGTGCTTGGATGGAGGTGTCGGCCTTTCCTTTGGAAAAATACTGTTTACTCACTCCCCAGACTTGTCCCTAAACACATTTTAGTATCATGTTTCCTTCACATTTGTACAGTCCTTTGGGCATTTACTATACCTGCACCACATAAGAATATTAATGATCAGGTTGTTATGGTTTTCCAATAACATCTTACACGACACCTAAGAGATACAGATTATGACATAAGTGAATTGGGCTACACTGAACTGGTCAGGCCAACAGAAACTCACCACCAGATACCCATGAGCCTCTTGCCCTCTGGCATTGGGATGCTGTTAGAATCACAATAAGTTACATAGATGAAATTATTTTAATAAGGGATCTAAGCCCTCATATTTTAGGGCATAAGCAGACCACTAACTGATGGCGGTTAAGAAGAAACTTCCTCTAAAGGGCATGTTATTCCATAACTGTCTATTATGAGTTTTTGCATACCTTCCTCTGAAGTATCTGGTACGGGTCACTGAGAGACAGGATATTAGATTGTCCATTGGGCTGTTCTAATATAGTAATTCTGATGTCCCCAACAACCAGTCAAAACATTCTTTCATGAAAAATGTAATAAAATTGATATACTTTGCATCATGTTCTTACGATCTACAAACTCAGACTCTGTCAGACCGTCAGGAAGATAGGTTCAGGTCTGTGAACTCTCTGCCAGACTACGCTGCTCCTACTTCCTTTGAAGTAGAATTCCAGGGGCAGAATCATGAAGAGATCCACAGCTGACCTCAATTATTGGTATGGAACACAGGGAGAGAGGGCATTATAGTCAGGACTTAAAACATATAATGATTTAGTGGTCCAAATCAGAACCTTGACCTCAGCTGGAAACAAATAGGAATCCGTTGCTGCTTTTGGAGCATGGGTGTAATGTGTTCCATGGAAGAATCTGCCAAGTAAGCAGGTAGCCACAATGTGGCAAGCAGGTTTCACGTGTGGAGAGCATTACAGCAAACCAAGGAGGAGGTGACCAAGGAATGGAAAACAGGTAGGTTCCACATCCTGAAGAAATTATTACAACCTCACCAGGGGCCCATCCAAAGCCTATTGTAGTCAATGAGAATCTTAGACTTCACTGGGCTTGAAGTGCATTCTTGGCTATCAATGCCATCTGGAAATCTCAGTGCAATCTTATTAATTATGCAAATTATTTTCAAATGACTTTTGCTTCATTATTTTTATTTTTGTTTGTTTCTTACAGTGTTGGCCAAGAAGACATGAAAAGGTACAGAAAACATACCCACAGCTTGTATGATATAGACTTAATTTAAGTATTTTAAATGCAGGCTTCCTCACCTCCCCAAAAAATATGCTGCCGCATCAGACTTACCTTGGACTGTATCTTCTCCAGTTTAAATCACAGAATTCTGTGACCTTATTTCAGCCATTGTTGAACCAGCTTGAAGGGCAAGAGCACAAAGCTACATGGCTCTGTCTGTGCTAAATGGATTGTGATTGACAATCCAAAGATATAATAAGTATGTCTTGTGACTGGCACGACAGGAGAAAGCATTAATTTAAATTACAACTTGGGGCTTTGAAAGGCTTATTGAGCCATTCCATTCTCATTATGAGTTCCTTCCAGTATTTGAGATTAAGTGATACCTTTACATGACAGTTTTATTTATTTAAATATGTACATTTATGGAGTTCTTCTATTAAGTGTTTGAAATGTCTGCAGGTCTTTTGCAGAGATGTATATGCAGCATGGCCCATAATTACCTTGGCAGGCTTAGAGCACTGATAGAAGATTATATTTTTAAAAGTAAAGTCCTCAAACTTTCCCAGGGCTTGGCAAGAAACCTATTCCTCTGTTGTATTTGGAGCAAGATCTGGGGAGATAGCCTGCAGCCAGAAGCGCCAGTGTAGGCAGTAACTGTTAAATCTTAAAAGAAAATGCTTTTGACACTAACAGAGGAAAGGAGAGAGGAAGACAATTAGTGCTAGAGTACAAGAAACAGATGTTTAATCATTTGTTTTGCCTTGTGGCTGCCAATATACAATCTTATAATTAAAATACACCTAGAAATGGGTCATTTTCTATTAATTCCCTAAGGCAGGCCTTTATCTTTTTAAGGGGCTACCTCTGAAGTGAGGTTATTTGAATTTTTCAAAATTGTTCTAAACTAGTAGTCAAGAATGATGATTTTTTTCTTTAACTGAAAAAAAAATTTTTTTTGCAGAAGTTTCTGATATGGCAGATGGCCTGTAGTGATCCAATAGGATGTAAAACTCTAGTTAGGTAGTCACTTGGCAATAAAACATGAGTTAGCCTGTGTTTCCATAGAGACATTAAATGTTTTCAATGCTGTCTTACTTTTGTCTCTTTCAAAATATGCATGATTAAAAAATAAGAAAAAGGTAATGTAAAATAAAAAGCTTAGGACTCTGCAGACATGAAAGTTTAGAACTGTTTGATTAATCTTGCCTTTCTTAGGGATGTTATGTTTGTTAGCCTCATATAGCCCTGAGGACAGAAGGATTGAGTTTGTTGTTTTCTGGCTGAAGAGCAACTCAGTGACCTCAGCTATGAATGTGTCCGCCAGCTATTCTTATTTCGAGAGAGAGAGAGAGAGAGAGTGAGTGTGTGTGTGTGTGTGTGTGTGTGTGTGTGTCCGCCAGCTATTCTTATTTCTTTTAGAGTGGGGGTGTGTGTGAGAGAGACAGAGCGAGCCAGCTACTCTTATTCCTTTTAGGGTGTGTGTGTGTGTGTGTGTGTGAGAGAGAGAAAATGTGTCTGATAGTTACTCTGACTCCTTTTAGGGGTGTGTGTGTGTGTGTGTGTGACGCACACCCACATGTAGGTGGTTGATGATGCTGTTGGGTAAAGTAGGGGCAATTTCTGGAATTAAGGAATTGGTCAGATTGTAGTGGTATGGGATGAAATCCTGCCCCCAGTGAAGTCAACGGCAAAACTGCCATTGGGATAGTTGGAGCCAAGATTTCACCTGCTGTTTTCCTATTTTAATATGGTTAAAAAAATACATTTTGTTGTGAGGCTTTTGGCTTTTGTAAGCTTATTTATAAGTGACTATCATGAAAAATTCACTCAGTGTCCCCAGGACCCTATTTTCCACTTCTGTGAAAAAGAAGCCTTGAATTTTGAGATGCTGCCATTAGTTTGCATTATACTGTGACACGTTAGTTGCTCAAATACCATGGTGTTGGGAATTATATAAAAACCTGGACAGATAGACCAGGTGTAAACTGGTGTGGGCAGGGGAGGGGCTAGATGTGGAGACAGGATTCATGGGAAATTTTGGCCCTAACTCCCAATACAGACTGTCCTCCTCATTTCACACAAGAATGCTTAGCAATGTCACCACAGTTGACAGATTTGCCATGTGGCCACTGGCTACTGGGGCATCACTTTAAGACTAGCTAATGCTATGGCTCCTCTTCCCAAAAGGCTCTCTTGCATGGGGTAGCACAGGGAAGCCGTTTCAGTATGCTGATAACATCCAACTGTATGGCTCTCTTGTCTTGCTTGGATGGCATTGTGGTTCAGTGCCTCAGCCACTGTTCAGTTCAGACAGGGCTGTGGATGAGAACGAGCTAGCTGAAGCTCAGCTCATCAGAAATGGAGGTGAGGATTGTGTGTTGGGGAAGCTGCAGAAGAGATAGCAGATCAACCTCTTTGCTTCACTCATCACCAAAGTTCAGGACTTAGGGAGTGATTTTAGACTGCCAGCTGTTGTTAGAGGATCGTACTGCGGTAGTAACTAAGGTGGCTTTTTATACTCTGTGCCTAGCCAGGATGTTGTGACTTTTATTTTTGGATGTGGATTTTACTATTGCTAGCCATGCCTTTGCCACCTGCAATATGCTCTGGGGGGCTACCACTTAAAACCCTTCAGAGACTGATGCCAGCGCAGAACACAGCAGTTCACTTACTGAGCAGGGCATCTTGCTGGGAGCACATAACACTAGAATTCCAGGATCTCGGCTGGTTGCCTATCGGTCTCAGAGTGAAGTTTAAGGTATTAGTTCTGACCTATAGAGCCCTAAATGGCTTGGAACCTGCCTACCTGAGGCACCTCATCTCTCCTATGACATACTGCCATAGCTGTGATCAGCAGAGGCTCTCAAGTTTGATTTCTCAGGGGCTGCTGGTACTGTTTTCTCTGCAAGGCCCCCAGGACTCTAACTGGTTTCCCACCTTGGTCTGAAATTGCTCAAACTTCAGAACCTTCCAGTCACACTGCAAAAGCCACCCATTTGACACAGTTTGTTGGAAAGGATGAGGGTATGTCCCTTGGGAGAGAAGTGAAAGGGGCTTTTCTGTTTTGATTTACTGGCTGGTGAGTTAGCTTGTTCCCCTTTTACAATTATTTAATGTTGCTGGATGGTCATCATTTTGTAACTGTAACTATAATTAATTAGGAAACCTAGAGCTTTTTCTGAGAGTGTTTATTAGTACAGCTAAATAATAATTAATAAATAATGCTGCTCCAAGCATCACTAAATAACTAGAATATTTTACACAGAAGGAGAACATATGCTAAGAGCGTCTGTTCTCTGGTTCTTCCACTCCCTGACCTCTATCCCTATGTATGGTCCATCTGCCACATGGAATTTTTGTGCAGGTGTCATTAGCAACTACATAGATATTTGTGTGTGTCGGGATATCCCATGTGCCGTCTTTTTCCTGCCTGCACTCGCACTTCCTGCATTTTTCTTTGATTTGCCTCTCCAAAGTCCCCATCAAATTAAGCAATGACAAGTGGAGAGGAGCACTTAGGTTGGAGTCATGTAATAGCCCTGCTCCTTGCTCTGCAAATGATCCATATGAGTCAAGCTAGTGCAACAATTTGGTGTAAACTTTTTTCAAAAATGGGTGAAGATGAATTTGGACATCTCACATAATTTTGCTGCTGGGGAAGAGAAGAGTAGTTTTATTTTATTTTATATTAAGAAAATTTTCTTACTTTTAAGCATGAAATCAATCCATGTTGTTTGTGATTTACAGTGTTACACAAGCAAATGTCACTTTAATGTTGGAACAGAATTGTGTAGCTACCTTTGTGTTCTCTGGCTTCACTCATAAACTCACGCTGTCATCAGGCCAAGAATCCCCAGGCTCTGAAGGAGATGGACAGCTCCTAAGTGGCCAAACCTGTTCTTGTTAATCCTCTCCACAAAGACAGCTGCTACTTCATTTCAATGTGATTCATTTGCTTATCCTCCACACTGCAGCGTCTACAGTTCATTTCCAACCTCTTTTGCAGAGCTGCTGCTGTTGGCAATAGCAATCTGAAGGAATCACTAGCACGCGCACACATATGCACTTACTGAGTGTGCTCTGTAGTATTTAAATCCGTTGTGTAATAATTTGCTAATTTACCAGTAAGGCATCTACTATCTCCAGTGAGATCTTGAGGAGCCTTCACTCCCATTGACTTCAGCAAAGGCCCTCAGCTTCCTGCACAACAGAACCCCTAATTACTTCCACTTAAAGATACTTTAATAGCATTTCCGGTTGCAGTTGCCCACAACCCGTGAGTGGGCAACTGCAGCTTGAGAAATCTTTAGGTTTGGGGATTTTTAAAAAAAATATTCTGCAGCGTTCAGTGTTGTACCTTGCCTGCACACCAGGGGGCAGCTGGAGATCTGAATGCCAATAGATGCCTCAGAGCCTTACACAGTGAATTGACTCCTTGGCCTATTCCCACCCCACCCATTCTTTACCTTAACTTTGTGCCAGGGCTGTAGGGTGACCAGATGTCCCGATTTTATAGGGACAGTCCTGATTTTTGGGTCTTTTTCTTATATAGGCTCTTATTACCCCCCACCCTCTGTCCCGATTTTTCACATGTGCTGTCTGGTCACCCTACAGGGCTGTCTTTTAAGTACTTGTTTATCTCATTGTGTTGTGTTTCACTATCACTCCTATTTCAATACTTTCCTTGTTCACTGTGGCAGCTCTTAATGTAGATCTGGCATGTCTTTATTCTTACTACTAAATTCCCTGTATCATAGACTAGATGTATAAATGGGAGCACTATGACGTGTTTAGGACATTATTTCCTGTGCTTTTTGTTACTTACACATTTTAGGCCATCTTTGCAGTCTTCCCCAGTCATTAGCTGGCACAGTTTTCAGCAGCCTTCAGGCTACATGAATCTCTGTTGTGAGACTAGTCCAGTGCTGAGTCAGCCAAGGATCAGGGTGCTGCAAAAGTAACTTAAAGCAATCTTTGCACTCACCCCATCTGGTCCAGTGCTCAGTACAGCCCAGCAAGACTAAAGAATGTGGTTTTCTATCTCTTTTTCCTGTGCATTTCATTTCTGCCTCATGTTTGTTCTCTCAGTTGAAAACATGGTGAACCTGCACCATGTGACCAACAAGTGCTCTACGGAGCACCACTGGTCCATGGATCAGAGGTGAGGAATCTCTGTCCTGTCTGATGTATTCCTAGCACTTGCTTATTGGAGATTTTTTTTTCCAATTACAAAAGAGGATTAGCCCAGAAGGAGTTGGAGACATTAACTCATGATTGATTTTACATTTTCCAGTATCATGTATTTGCCATTTATTAAAAAGTTTAAGGGTGAAATCTGAAGCCATGTGGTCCTATTAGTTTTTAAAGCAAAACTCCCCATCAGAATCAAAATCAATGGAGATTTTGGATGCTATCAGTTTTAACGTAGGTTTTGGCCACTGGATAGGAGTATCCTTGCTTTTATCCTACTTTTTAAAAATCTGGATACGAGCCCAAATTTCTCCGTGGTTATCGTAATACTTTTGCTGGAATGAACTGGTGATTCATGTCCATTCGTCCGACGCCTTAAAAGTGTGGAAATAAGGGGAAAGAATTGTGTGTTCCTTTCAACCTTCATATTACCTACAATGCTATCAATGACACTCACCAACGTTCCCTGAGGCTTTCATTCCCAGCTCCAACAGATACTCAAAAAGCAATATCTACCCCAACTTCATCAAACGTGGAATCTAACACAAACCATTAAGAGTTACCTCATACACCTTTGTATCAATAGATCAGCACACCTGACTCACATATTACATGAATTTGGAAAATTATTCTGCCTCAGCAGTGCTGAGGTCCCCACCAGACTTGCACTCCATCACTACCCATCTCCCATTTCTTTATGGTCAGGTGAAGAAAGAATGGGTCTTGCAATGCACATGGAAATTAATAAATTCAGGTCACTACAGACCAAGGGGAAGACATGCTTTCGAAAGGCTCATGTACCTAATGAAGAATACCCTGCCAGCAGCCCCTTGCTCTTATGCTAATGAGGCTTCAACTCAGGTGCCTCCAATATTGCAACTGTGGCAATAGCGCATGGGGAGATAAGTATTCTATAAGTATTAGGGGGGAGGAATAGCTCAGTGGTTTGAGCATTGGCCTGCTAAACCCACATTTGTGAGTTCAGCCCTTGAGGGGGCCACTTAGGGATCTGGGGCAAAATCAGTACTTGGTCCTGCTAGTGAAAGCAGGGGGCTGGACTCGATGACCTTTCAAGGTCCCTTCCAGTTCTAGGAGATAGGATATCTCCATTAATTTTATATTTATATTTATTTATTTTAATTCATATTCTCTTGTCAAATGCTTTCTCCAGCATCTAAGGAAATAGCCTGGAGAGGCTGCTCTGCATCCTTCACACTGCACATTAGATTCACCAAGCATCATAACACCAGCTGAGCCGTCATCCCACCCGAGAAGGATGAGCAATAGCCTTCACAATGTTTGCAAGTCTTTGGGCCAACTTTTCTTTTTAAAAAAAAAACCGTTGTTTATGTGATGTTAAACTATTTACATATGAATTGCTGCTAATGAGGACTCGCACACTTGGCTTTCCAGCAGACTTGCAACAAGACAAAAATTAAGGATACAATTATAGTATGTAGTATGGCAGAGTAGTAGGCAGAGCACTAAATGGTTTTTGGGTAAACAAAGAAGTCAGCTGTTGTTTATGGGTGGGATGCAGACCAGTTAGGGGTTGTTGGGTTTTATTTTTATGATTACTTGAGAATTTTAAAAATAGCAAATTAACAGGCCTATAGATTCTGTAGCAACTTTTCTGATTAATGTGAACCTCAAGATTAGATGCTAAATTATTCTCCATAAAAGGAACTGCTCTGGAATTTTCTGAATGATATTTTAGTCTGTCTTTATATTCATACTAATCAGAGGATTATGGACTGTAATTTAATTATTGCAAATGGTCCATCATTGGGTTTTTTGGTGGGGAGAGAGGTAAGAAAAATCTAGGCTGCAATTAATGCTGAAATGAAACCCTTTTCCTCTACATCTCTAAAAACATTTCAATAGATTAGGAGCCAGATGAGACTGAAAGAGTTTATAAAATTCTATTAGAAAGTCATCTTCATCCAGAGCTTTTCCAGAGCCCAGAGATTTTATGGCTTCTTTTTATTTTTTCCTCGGCTATGGGTCTACCTAACAGCTCTAATTTCCTGAGGAATTATAGGTATTTCCATTTTATTTAAGAGACCTTGAGTCTGTTCAGATGTGGCAACTGACTTAGATTAATTATGTAGGTTTTTAGAACTCATGAGACATCACTGAGGTCCAGAGGTTTTATAACTCATGCACCAGATGACCAAGCAGAGAGATGATATTACACACTGTGCTTTCTTTTTCTTAAACTGCACTGCCAGCAGCTTCCTGGCCATTTCTCTGTGCTCACAGTTTCTCTGTCATAATAGGGAAAGACCACATCCACCATTTTGTCAGCAAAGGAATCCTTGCTTTCACTCCTCAAGTAAGTACAACTACAATGTAATTTTGTGTCTGGATTCCAGGGAGCAACAGAACGCCCACCTCAATATCACTTCCACATAGCCACCCCTATAGATTACTCAAGCTCCTTTGGTGAGTAATTTGAATGAATGAGGATGCATAGTGAGCTCTCATTGGAATTCAGAAGCTCTCACATATCACGGCGATTGAGGTGGTATAAGAGTACCCACTTTATCAGAAATTCAGTTGAATGGGGCCAGATTGATGTATTACCTTACTCCACTAATCCCATTGATTGATTATAAAGTACTATTCAATGCAATTAAGGGTATCAGTCTGGCCTATAGAAATGTACTTACCTACTTCACAATGAAAGAATTGGGTGGGAAGTGGAAAATTTTGACAGAGGGAAAAACAGAGCAGAGAATGGGTAGGAAAAATTCTAATAGAACAATAAATACAGTGAGCCAAAGTCATCCCTCATGTATTACTTCACCGAAGCCCAGATTATATTCCATATGCAGGCCACCTATTTGTGCCAGGTTAGCATTTGGAAAGGAAGATGGTTCTATTTCTAATACATTGGCCACAAGCTTCCACAAGTTTTGCTAACAACATGTTTGTAATGAATCATCATTGAGGGAAGAGGAGAGAAATGGTTTGAGGAAGTTTAAGGAAAAAATAAATATTGTGCTCTCAAACTAGTTGAAGAAATGAGCTATGCACTCAGGGGAATACAGTGGGGCTGAGGATTCTACTCATTCCTACTAGCCCTTTTAAAGCTGCTCTGAAGCTACATCTGAAAGATAAGTGAGAAGTAGTGGACATGGCTGGTTTCTGCTTCCCCTGGTATGTTGAAATAGTGGATCCAGCCAGGTGCAGACCCACTGGACATACCACTACTTTACCAGCTTAGAATCCCTCTGTCTTTGTGCTACTATACATACTGTCACTCCCGATCCACAAGGGTAGAGCGGAATCACTTTGTTTCCAGGCCTTTGTGCTGATGTGTTTTGAGGTCTTGAGTGCCTATAAAGGAAGGATTTGACCTTTGAACTCGAGTCTTGCATGAGCAAATGGAAACAAGCAATTCAAGGTCCATCATCTCCCCTTGTAAGCATACAATCACCTTTTAGATATTTAATTATTTTCAGTAGGTCATGTCACTTTCTGAACAATTAAATATTTACTACCTGTACATTTACTAAGCAATTCAAAGAGAGACTACAATACAACTCAACAGCAAGGGGTGACCAGGCAAATCATTAATACCAGTATATTAACTTGTGTAAAATTAGCTGACATGAAATCAATTCCATGTTCACTTGTTAAATTGTGTTCCCCTTCAGTACATTTAATCTTAAAAAAGAAAAAAGAGGAAAAGACAACTACAGTCCATAAATTATTTCTAAATAGTGTGCTATAGATTGATGGTAACTAACACTCTCAATTCTGTATTTATATTAAAATAACTGTTTCATATGCATACATACGTATTATAGCAATTATACCAGCCAAAAAAATAAATTTGATGTAGATAATAAATTAATGCCTATTTTACCATTCATTAACATCTTCTCTTTGCTAGGAAATGCCTTTTTTTATTCCACGCTTTATAAGATTAATGCAACTACACAATATAACCGTATAATTTAGCTATATAGATTTCTAAATACCTAGAACCCAGACATGAGCAATGAAACAGAAGTCTAGGCTATAATACACTTAAATCAATAATAAACCACTCATTCTAACCAGAATTCCACAGAGGACAAAAAATTAACGTCAAAGTTAAATCTTTCTAGCTACTGACACTTATTTGGCTAGATTCAGTCCCCTGTGAAACGCCATTAACTTCGATGGATTTAAACCAGGAAGAATATGGGATAAAATTTTCAAAGGCACCTAAATGATTTAGGAGTTCAAGCCCTTGATCTATTCAGCATTAGGATTAGTAAAGCCAGGAATGGTTTAAGAAATGGCCAATGGAATTGTTTTTCACTTCCATATTTCTGCTTTGAATCCAGACCATGTTGTCAGTGACTGAAAGTTATTACCATCTGTTGGCTGTTCAGTGTCTCATGTGAAAGGAGTTGGTGGTCATATTCCCATTCCTAATCGACAAGAGACAAATAAAAAAAAAATCATCATGGTTGGCATTCATTGGTGTAGTCGCACTAGAGAGGCCTGAATAAGTGGAAAATGAACTACCGCCTAACCTTTCGGCTATGTCTGCACTTCGAGCTTGGGGTGTGATTCCCAGCTCATGTAGATATACTTGCACTAGGTCTTAATGAGCAGTGGTGAGCAACAACTCAGGCTAGCCACCCTGAGTACAACCCTGCTTGGAATTCATGGGTATGTACTCGGCAGAGCTACCCCATGCCGCTGCTCACCACTGCCTGTGCTACCACAGCTACGCTACTACTGTTAGCATGCTAGCTTGGTGACAGCTAGCATGAGTATGTCTATGGGAGCTGATAGTCTATATGTCTAGCTCCCAGTGTAGATGTGGCCTTAGAAGTGGTGCCCACAGCACAGGCATTTTGGCACAGCATTCTGTGAAAAGCTTGCTCTGCTGCTGCTAGTGCTACAGTTGTTCTTTTGATCAATAGAGAGGAAATCAGTCTCCCAAATAACTTGGGCCCAATCCTTCAGCCTTTATTCACATGGAATAAAGGCTGCAAGATAGAACCTAAACAATCCATACTGGAAAAAATTACTAGAGTGTAAGAAAAGAAAATGCTTGATACTTATTTGGAGCATAGCATAGGACACACATTTTCAAGGCCACACTCTGGCTGGGCCTTTGTCACAGATCTGGTCAGAATCTCCCTGTCAGCAGCCCACCACTTTGCCGTGGGGGAATCCCAGCCTCTGGATACTCAGGTGTTTTAAGTCTCTGGATTCTGAACAGACCCAGGCACTGTCCTACGCTTGGGATTCCTAGCACACTGTCAGAGTGACGACTCTGTTTAGTACCCCCTCCTGACAGCTGCGATCACACAGTCTAGTTACCCAGCCCCTGCTACCAATGCTGATCCATCAAATTCCTCTGTAGCTTAAACACCCCCTCTTCCAAAATCCCATCAAAGGTGTCAGCCTTCTGGGTTATGGTTTAGTTCTCTCAGGGGGCATGTGGTATCTGTAGCATGTAACAGACAGACACTTTGCACAGAACCAAACACATTATTGCTCTTTACTTAATCACCCCAGAAATATACAGATTCATACAAAAAAACAAAAACAAACCCTGCACACATTTCCTCTCACTATATCTTGGGAGTCCTTTGGGATCTCTGTTCAGGTAGGTAGGAAAGGTTTTCCCCCCTGGTTCATCCAGCTCCTGCAGCAGCTTCTCTCATCTTAAGATAGTGAAAAGTGGCCAGGGAAAGAGGAGAAGCAGTGGCCAGCACATCCCTCGGCCCGCGCCGCTTCCCGCAGCCCCCATTGGCCTGGAGCAGCGAACCGTGGCCAGTGGAAGCCGCAATCGGCTGAACCTGCGGACCCGGCAGGTAAACGAACTGGCCTGGCTGGCCAGATGCTTACCCTGGTGGGCTGTGTGCCAAAGGTTGCCGATCCCTGTCCCAGATATTTATCAGGTGACTTCATTGCTAGGCAAGCTCTCCCCTGATAAATTAGTTCTTCTGGTTGGGACCCAGTGTTTCGTCTACAGCAGTTTCAATGGTTGGGTACTTAAGTCAATGACCCTCTTCTGTTATTCTTTTGCCATTTGCTTTTGGAATTTTAATCCAACATAGAGGTAATAGGAAAACAAAGAAGGTAAAGAACCCTAATTCCAAAATAGAGTCTGCATCTGGTAAAGATATATAGAGAATTCATAATGTCACATATAATTCATAAATTGTACAGATAGTTTCCCTACATTGTTATAGGACCCTACACTGGAAAAGAATTACTGTATGGTAAGAAAATACTTGACATTTTTTTAGAGCATTTACAAAGCAACATTCTGGCTGGGCCTTTTTGATGATTCTGTACCTGTACATCAGCTCCTAGCATTGACCTTATCAACAACAACCGCAACGACGTAAACCCAACCAACCAACCAACCTGTGCCCCTTATACTAAATGGGGAGATGAGAAAGTGAATTAAGAGACAGAGATAATAAGGGCAGCCAGAGACAGTAAGAGGAGAAAGGTGATTAGATTTAAACTGTCCCCTGCCCTTTATCATTTATAATTCTAAATTCCAAACTGTTCAATATTCCGGTTCTGGAACTCTCTTCCCATTTTCATATCATTCACAGAGTGTATTAGGCACTTCCCAGACATAGAAATAGACAATGTCCCTGTCCTACTGAGTTTACTATTTAAATTATTAAACATACTCAAATATGAATAAGCCAGAGCAGGAGGTGCATCAGTAGGCGATTGGTGAGTGAAGACATTAGTCAACTGTAGCAGAGGCATTTACCAGTACCCTGATAATACATACATGGTTATTGTTTATTGCTATAATACAAGTAGAACTCGGGGGGTTCTCTTCCCACTTCTGCTATTGACTTTGTGCAAATAATATAACCATTCTGAATCTCAGTTTATCCCTCTATAATGCAATGCACATGATAATACCTCACAAGCTTGTTGTGAGGCTTAACATTTGCAAAGCAATTCAGTGCCTTCCATCGAGATTCTCATTAAGTGTAAAGTATCTCTAGGGAAAGGCAGCTGATAAAATAGATTCATATGTACCATAATGAATCCGCAGAGAGGCCGAGCTTAGTTTGGAGATGGATGTGGAAAGATTAAATTCAGTCACTGATGGCAACATCGTTTGGCTCCTTCTGTAGGTGCACAAGGAAGAAGTGTTCCATTTCCTCTGCTTAAGGGGAATGGCAAACAGAAACCCATTATGGAGGGTCTCCCTGCCCCCTGTCCCTACTTCTCTGCAAGGGAGAGGGGATGGTATGAGCAGCTCAGGGAGTGGCAGGGATGTGGCCAACCAGGACAAGCGCAGCACAGATCCACTGCCCCCAAATACTGCACACTGTCTCCATGCTACAGCATCAGCCACAGCCCCCGTGGTGATGCTGTTTTCCCCACCCCGTCCTTGCACAGGACACACAGCACAGAGCCTCTTTACTCAGGAGAGTACTCATTTGGCCTGGAGCGCCAAGTAAAGGGAAGGAAGAAACATGACTTTTTTTTCCAGTAGTCTTATCGTGGTTTGAATATGACTCAACTCTGGAGAGTCCATAAGGATAATGTGAGTTGTGCTTTGTTAGCAGTTAGGTTAATGTGTAGAAATATAAGACTAGTGGCTTTATCTGTTTAATTGTTTGGTGCTGCCAAGAGCAACCATAAGCATAGTTCACTGGTGCATGAAGGGAGTAAAGAGTGACATTCACTACTCACTGTTACAATCCTCACATTTAAATACAAGGAGTTCAGCATCCTAGCTGGGGCAGTAAACCAGTTTCATGGTTATCTGAGTGACTCAATGATAATTGTTCTCCATATTAGGGTTTAAAACCTCCCTTCACTGAAAGAAATAGAGAAGAAAGAGGTGGGTTAACACTGAAACTTAGCAGTCCATTTGTGTTTGTTAAATGTACCCCAGACTACGTTGGGCAGTGTCCTTTGCCTCCGTTTCTCACCTTGTGGTGTGAGAGTCTAAGGGCTTGTCTACATGGCACTTTACAGCGCTGCAACTTTCTCGCTCAGGGGTGTGAAAAAACACCCTCCAAGTTTCAGCGCTGTCAAGTGCCAGTGTAGACAGTGCACCAGCACTGGAAGCTTGTGGCAGTGTTTTTTTTTTTAGAGCCCTGGGAGAGCTCTCTCATAGTGTTGCACCGTGACCACACAGGCCATGTTAAAGCGCTGCCACGGTTTAACGTTGCCAGTGAAGACATGCCTTAACAAACAAATGTCCCTTTAACACACCACTCCCCTCTCCCTCCACTGCACCCTGCTCACGGCGGCTGTCCTTGCTCAGCGAAGACCCAGAGTTCGGATGTGCATTTCACGTGAGTTCACCTCCCACCTGGGGGAAGAAACTTCAAGCAATGCCTCAGCTTTGCTGCCAACGTAACTGGCTCACACCTCTGAGTGACATATGTTGACTTAAGCTGCAGTGTAGCCATAGCCTTTGGTTGTTCATGTAAATATAGTCTAGTCCTGAAGCCTCCCCCGCAGGTCATCATTAGCCGTCAGGGGAGAGCTCATTCAGACCCTGTTTACATTTGCGATGCCCTCAGCTGAATTAGGGTAAATGATCTAGAGCTAAGATGTGGCCTTTTTTAGTGTTTTGCCAGACACACAAAAAAGGATAATTTGATATGCTTTTAAAATCTCCCCAGGTCCATTCTTGAGAATACAGTAGTTGAAACAGATTTACAATAGTGTAATTGAGAGCTAATTTTGGCCCAGCATCTGCATCAAGGAGTGGAGATAACATCCTCTGTCACAAAGATTTGCTTGGGGAGCTCATGACAATTGCTAGGCTGCTGGTGTGCTGAGACCACAGCTTGTCATGCTGACCAATATTGTCTCTTGGTTTTCTGTATTCCCCTGTCTGTCTGTCTCCATCTGTTGTCTCTTATGCTTAGGTTGTAAGCTCTTTGGGGCAGGGACTGTCTTTTTGTTGTGTTCGTACAGCACCTACCACAATGGGGTCCTGGCTCATGACTGGGGCTCTGAGGCTCTACAGTAATACATTTATTATTATTGGTGTTAAATTCGTGTTTAAACCCTGCTGTGTCTGGCATAGGCCATCAATCTTAAGTGTAAAATAAGGACAAGACAGTGAATAAGGGGAGTCAATGAACATGGAGGGGTTTCCCAAACTGCGTAAGGTCATATCAGTATCTGTTTTATCATCATTATCAAGCAGGGGCTTTGCCTATTCTCCCTGCCCCTTCCTCATGCACTTACTTAATGAGAGGACTATCCAGGGCACAGCTCCCATGCGTTGCACAGGACCTGGACCCAAGATCTGAGTAGCGCTAGAGCAGCGGGACGAAATGAGGCCTTAGATCCCTTTACTGCCCTGATTAGCCACATTGGGGCTAGTCACAATATAGCCCTTAGGTTATATGCTTTTGGGGCATGGGGATCCATCTGTATCTGTATTTTAAAGCACCATGCACATTTATGGTGCTACCTTCTTTGAGTCCTAAATCATGAAAAAGCAAAAAATATCTTTTTATAAATAAACCTGCTGTCAGCTTCT